AAAAGGGTGGAGGGTGGAAAGTGGAAAGGGAGGGGGGCGCAAGGAGGGGGGGCGAGGAGGAGGAGGAGGCAGCGGCACCCAAAGGAGGTTGCCATACTCCCCCACACCCCACGCAGGCGGGCCCACCGCCCTCCCCTCTGCTACTGGACCCCGCAAAGGATGCCCCATGCCACCAGAAGGGAAAAGCCACACCACCCGCCGAGGGAGGCAGGCTGGGGCCCCTGAGGTCTGCAAACAAGGTAGACGTGTGCTTGCCTCCCAAGGAGTAACTGGCAAAAAAAGGCAGCTACTCTGCAAAGGAGGAAAGGCACACAAAGCTCCAGCCGCTCTCGGAAGGGGAGCCGGTCACTCTCCCTTCCCTCTCCATTGGGTTTGTTGCTGATATTTGACCAGGTAAATGACAATTCCCTTGACTTTTCTGTGACAAGAAAAATCTTTGTGCTCATTTATTATCATTATCATTATCATTATCATTATCATTATCATTATTATTATACTGGTGCTTTATTTATTTTTTAATTTATTGTTTGTTTGCTTAGCTCAAGGCGAGGGATGATGCTGAAGGAGATGTGAGAGACTGGGGTCACGTCTCTGTGCCCATTGCAAGAGAAATGCAAAAGGTGCCAGCCCAGCCCGGTGGTCTTAACAAGAGGTGATGAAGGCAGATCTCAGCAGAGGGGTGTCTCAGAGGAGGCCCCCCCGGGGCTTCCAACTACAGGGCGCAGACCCTCCAGACAAAAAAGGTTCATGTCATTACCAGGGTCAAATCTGCTGCCGCAGCCATATCCATCGGCCCACTTTGCCACCAGCATCCCAAAAGGGGTTCCCAGGATCCACCAGGCATCCCACGAGATTCCAGCATGAAGTGGTGAATCGCCAACCCTTCTCATGGCAGCCAAGGGGCTCCGCCCGTCCCGTCCCGTCCAGGAGCCACCTGCACACTACCGGGACACCTCGAAGCACATGGTTGAAATGGGGGCTCTTTCTGACTCTCTCTTTCATTCCTTGACCCCTTGTGTTTGTGCCTTTCCTCTTCACTGGCCTGGCGTGTTCCCCTGTGCACTGCACCGACATTTCTGTTGCATTATCTTCTTGCTATTGCTGTGGTTGGATAATAATACCCATTTATATTTTGAAATTAGGGCACTGATTTTGCAGCCTGATTTGAGTTTCCTTCCAAAAGGAAGGAAATGTGGGACGTAGGTAAACTGCCCCCCCTCCTTCTTCTGTTTTTAAGGACATTTGAGTTACATCTCAACCTTTTACAATTAATGCCAATTATGGTGATGGAAAGGCACACTGTACATGCTTAAGGGTACTATTTTCAGCGAGGACCGAAAGAACCTCAGGGCTCAACCTTGACTCCTTCTGAAGACAGGAAGTCATCCCCCCCCGCTCTTCCCCCCCGCCTCCATTGCTGGCAAGGGGACTGTGCCTCCCCCACACTGTCTTTTCAGAAGTCTCACTTTTAAGGTCACAATTATTTCTGTTCTCCCGGAAAGCCGCAGGACCACGGGCGAGTTCAGTCTTACGAAGGCGATCCAACCGCCAGCTCAAAAGCCTCTCCTTGCCCAGCCCACCCAAAGGGCAAATGGCCAGTGGCGAGCGGGGAAGAGTGAGGAAAGGCAATCGAAATATGAATCGCTTCTGGCGGGGGGGGGGGAAGAGAGTAGGAGAGGAACTTTCATCCAATTTTTCAAAAAAGTTTGCCTTGGTCTTATCAGCAGAATAAATCACCTCAGGCAGGCAAACAGGTAGATGCAGCTTAGTACAGCAATTATTTCCAAGAAAAGATAAAGCCCTATTATCACATGGGGGCCGGCCTTCCTATCCAGAGATCTCCAAGGCCTTATCAGTGGGCGAGATCTGTGCAGGAAGGAAGGGAGGCAGGCAGGCAGGCAAGGAACACAGGAGAAGAAGAAAAAAAGCAGCCAAACCTGCCGGTGGAAAAGTTCCAGCAGCTCAGACATCCTAAAATCCCCTGTGGTCCTTCCCCTTCCGCCAAGGCCCTACATCAAACAGGCCGGAATCATCACAATAAGAGGGCCATTATCAGCCGGAGGATGAGGTGGGGGGGAGGGGTGGGGAGAAAGCAAGAAAAGCGAAAGTTAAATCTGGAAGGCCAGATCTCATCTGGATGCCTCGGGAGACCTTTGGCAAAACTTCCCAAAAAGTTGTTCTGGTTAGAAATAATACATGGGGTGGAAGCTTCAGGGTGGGCAAGAGAACTAGGAGGTGAAGACGGTGAAGGAAAATCAGGACACATTTTCCACACACAGAAGGACTTCTGCTGTGTTTGTTTTGTTTTTTAAAGTCAACTTGAGGCTATGGCTCTCCCGGCCCAGATGGAAGAATGGTTACAAAGCAGGAAAATAACCTTGCTTGGCCTACCTATGCAAGCTTCCCAACTTCACAGAATGCTTTATCAGATGAAACAGAAAAAGAGCCAGTCCCAGGAATGGGGATGATGGTTCATGCTCCACGAGCTTAGCTGACGGAGGGATTTCCGCATTTCCAGCCCCTTCCGCCTGGCAGCTGGAGGCCCTTCTGGCCACTCTCGGCCCCAGATGATGAGTAGGCACATCTGTACGGACTCCCCAGCTGTCCAAAAGCACCAAGCTCAGGACCACCGAGGGCTGTGCGCCAAGGAGGGCACCTGGGGGCGAAAGGACCCGCTCTGCTCCCCTGAAGGAGCCTCCCGCTTCCCCCCCCCCGGCCTTTTCTATTTCTGCCTGGGGGGGGGGACTCCAGTTAGGGAAGAGGCCACCTCAGGCTCTTCTCTCAAAGGCCAGCAGGTGCACCACTGCCTCCTCCATCGCACAAGAGGGGCACCAACACGCACTTTGCACATGCTCAGGCAGCCTCACCCTATGTCCCAAGCTTTCCTAGCACCGAGAGCTGACGGTGGGAAAGGGGTTCCCAGCCCTCCCCCCCCCCCAAGACAGGCAGGCAGGCAGGCAGGCAGGCCGGCGCACTTTTCCTCCTCCCGCTCCCCCTCCGTCAGGCTCGGCAAGAGGTCCCTCCAGACCAGAGGAAACACCTTCCTGCTCTCCTCCTCCTCCTCCCGCAAGAGGCGACGGGAGTGAGTCAAGCGCCCGATAAGATCGCAATTTCAGCCCGTCCCGACAGGGCGATCTTATCAGGACGGGACTTGCAGAAAGGAATATTTGAGAGCCTTTATCGCGGGCCTCATC